TTGCATCGGTGGCCAGCGCCGTTCCAGTTACGTATTACTCAATCAGGAACAATCGCTATTTTATTCTGCTAATTTACACGACACTCTATTATTCGCTAACATAAAATTCTCAATCGGGGTGCGCTCAGATTATTCCGGCTAATTTTAAAGTTTCGGTTCATTCCGCTCCTACTTCAATTTATGTAAATTATACGAATGGCCGGATTCCCTGACAATCACAATCAAACAAGACACCTCCTACATCTCTGATGTTAGATAAAATAATATCACTTACTGTCGTGTAATCCTGGCAGCCAAAACGGTTTCGTCTGCACAGACAATAACATCCTATCAAGAATTAACGCCGTGTATTCGGATGAAACACGCATGCGCTGTCAATATCACTCAAATATGGTGCACACTAGCAATCAGATGGATCCATCATCTCGAATTCAAATACATCGCGTAATCCAAAATACGCAAAGAAGAGAATATATACATCACCAGACACACACACGTTTTAGAACTGTTTTGTTCGAAATCACAAACTTTGTTGCACCATTTTGAAGGCGTAAGGTTGCGCGTGCGCAGTACACTTGCACTATGAAGTCCTCCGCCCGAGGACGATCCATTGATATGATGATGTCTTGGTCGTAGAAGACGTTGTCGCTTCTGCGACAGGCCCTGAAAATATTGATAACTCCTATAATAACACAGTTGTGATATAAGACAATAGTTATCATGTAGAATCGATACAAAAATGGGATACGTACATTTGTGTCGTGTAAGCGTAATCGTAACAGCTTCCCGAGATGTCCTGGTGACTGGTGAGTGACTGAATTTAGTTTTACGCCGCACTCAGCAATATTCCAGCTATACTCTGTAAATAATGGAATCTGGACCAGACAATCCAATGATCAACATCATGAAATCGACCTACGCAATGGTGGGATACGATGACAGATCTCAACCAAGTCAGCGAATCTGACCATCCGATCCTCGTAAGTCGCCTCTTCTCGCAAGCATGGGTTACTGAACCAAACTGGATCAATTCTAATCCGGATCTTCTTAGGAAGATGGTGTAATCGCGGGATACAGGCTATGAGTGTTAGAATCTCATGATACTGAGATTTGAATCCTAGATGGCCAGGAGCGTAGCAAGCCATTTTTTTCGTACCAAGCCCGATAGGTTGCAATTCTTTGTATTTAGATAGTATTGAGGGCTTGGCGTCATTCACATACATGTCGATGGAAAAACAATCAATCGTCACTGAAAAGAGGTGAGGTGAAATTGGGTTTAACATCGTGTGCTTGAGAATATTTCGCTCATATGACGACGTGCAAGCGTGTGTGTGTGTACGTGGCGGCTGCTGTACTAGCCAGACTGAAGCTGGTTTTATAGTGCTAGCCCACTGAGGATACCATGCCGCAGTGAAGCATGGATACCCCACTCAGACACGTTATACTGACTCCGAGCCGACCAGTCCTCGTTGTACCCATTAATGCCGAGCGCCAGGCAGGGACCAATAGAGATACCATATTTTAACATCTTTTGGTATGACGCGGTCGGGGAAAGAAAAGACACCTTTCAAATGTATGATGTAGAATGACATGTTTACTTTACATGGTGACTGTATTGGTAATGCTTTGTTATCAAAGAATATTGTAGTCAATATGATTCGCATAGTAGGGTTCCCAATATTAAATGGTTCTGATAACGTGTTTGTAAGGTATTTTTATGATAAATTAGAAAATGTTTCAGCAAAAAATCATGTAATGCGGCCAGGCTTTTTATATATAATGGTAGCTACGCGTATAATAGCAATGGTAAAATATTCTTCATGCTCGTTGGATTCACGAAAGTCAGGAATTGTGACGTAAACCCCTTTGATAAAAGGCCGGAGTGCAACTATAAAAATCCCATGGGTTTCAAATTAGTCTCTTCAGCAGTGTAGAGTGCCCATGAGTGACAGGACTGTACCGGCTATGGGTGCCTGGCGATGTCAAAGGTTAAGCTTGGAATTTACTACTAGGATAAACATGTGTCTAACAGTAATTGTCCAACAACCTTTCACTACACATTTTGAAAAACTTAACTTAAATTGTCAAAGTGTTGGTATGGATAAAAAATAACTGCTATACAAATATCACCTCCAGTGAGAATATAGTGTTCTGATGTCGGCCTTAAAAGTGTACAACCCTGCAGCAGAGGTCCAGAGATTGGGAGGGTCGTATCACTGCCTGGAAAAATATGAAACATGTAACACTGAATGAACAGTTTCCCCTCCAGCAGACTTGTTGCTTTGGAAACGCACCTTCTTGACCAATTTCGGTGATACAGTGAGAAATTCAAAGCTGGATTTCAAAACGGAAATATGTTTTCAAAATGTATCTTTTGTAAACTGTCTGCATCAATACCTTTTGCAGAGAGTCTTCATAACACATACTTTAAACTATGGCTTAGACCCGTGAAGATCCGTGTTAGAATTGGTCTTCAGCAACCCATGCTTGTCGTAAGAGGCGACTAACGGGATAGGGTGGTCAGGCTCGCTGGCATGGTTGACACATGTCATCGGTTCCCAATTGCGTAGAACGACGATCATGCTGTTGATCACTGGATTGTCTGGTCCAGACTCGATTATTTACAGACCGCTGCCATATAGCTGGAATATTGCTGAGTGCGGCGTTACAACAATCAATCAATCAATCAATCAATATACTATGGCTTAATTACATCATGAACCGGTAAAGTCGATTTTGGAATGTAAATTATGTTGTCGTATACTTGTATAATGGACCAATGACCCCCTTGCAGAAATAATCTCAGCCTCGTCTCATACAAGGATCATATTCAGAGCGATCTGGAGTTCGAACCCATGACTACAAATAATATTTTTTAATTTATTTGAATGTGATGATGAAGATACTCACGCTTTCAAACTTTGTCGTTTCTCGGAGTCGTGGCGGAACGCTGCGTTGACAAAGCTATGGCTGGGGCGGACACCTGTGTGCGATACGTAGCTCCTGGGGGTCTGTTGGAAGCCCTACCTGACTATCTCAGATCCTGGGCGGGGCGAGGGGTCGTTCTCTGGGGAGGTCAGTTAAGTCCTCCACTGACCCATACACCATACGAGTCAGTGGGGTGTCCCCAGGTGATGTGGCGTTCTGACATGGTCGACTGGAGTAGAACACCATTGTGTTAGAACAGTACTGGGACCTAGGGTAGCCTAGTGGTTAAAGTGTTCGTTCTGTTCGGTGTCCCAGGTTCGATTCTCCACATGGGTACAGTGTGAAGCCCATGGTTGGTGACCCTGCCGTGATGTTTCTGGGATATTGCTAAAAGCAGCGTAAAACTATACTCACTCGATTCACATCGAATCACACATGTAAGGCACATTTCTGGTCTCTCCTGAAGTAGATTTGGCGTAAACCATATTCAGTTACCAGTAGACTATACTCTATATGGACAAACAACGTGTTCACAGAACGATGTAAATGACTGACTGACTGACTGAGTTTGGTTTACGCCGCTTTTAGCAATATTCCAGCAACATCACGGCAGGGGACACCAGAAATGGGCTTCACACAAGTCACAAGACTTTGCTTTTTTGTAGACCTTCTTATGAGTATGGGGGCGGTGGGGTAGTCTAGTGGTTAAAGCGTTGGCTCGTCACGCCGAAGACCCGGTTTCGAATCCCCACATGGGTACAATGGAGTGAAGCCCATTTCTGGTGTCCCCCGCCGTAAAATTGCTGGAATATTGCTAAAAGCGGCGTAAAACCAAACTCAGTCAGTCAGTCAGTCTTATGATTATGGAAGTGACTCTTGTCTCTAATTCAGTATTTTATCGGAGTTTGGTTTCCAAAGCTCCCGACCATACAGTGGCATTCTTCATTTCCGCGGTCTTAAAAAACATAAAACATCCTATTCAAACCTACCGTTTGCAGGTCGTAAAAAGCCAGTTAATCACAACACATGCATCCATGTCTGACGTGGGGATACTTACATGGACCCAGGTGTCGTGTGAAGCCAGTAAATCACATACAGCCCTGTCTGACGTGGGGATACTTACATGGACCCAGGTGTCGTGTGAAGCCAGTAAATCACAACACATACAGCCCTGTCTGACGTGGGGATACTTACACGCACCTAGGTGTCGTGTGAAGCCAGTAAATCACAACCACATACAGCCCTGTCTGACGTGGGGATACTTACATGGACCTAGGTGTAGTGTGAAGCCAGTAAATCACAACACATACAGGCCTGTCTGACACGAGGATACTTACATTGACCCAGGTGTCGTGTAGTCAGTAAATCACATACAGCCCTGTCTGACATGGGGATACTTACATGGACCCAGGTGTCGTGTGAAGCCAGTAAATCACAACACATACAGCCCTGTCTGACGTGGGGATACTTACATGGACCCAGGTGTCGTGTGAAGCCAGTAAATCACAACACATACATCCCTGTCTGACGTGGGGATACTTACACTGACCCAGGTGTCGTGTGAAGCCAGTAAATCACAACACGTACAGCCCTGTCTGACATGGGGATACTTACATGGACCCAGGTGTCGTGTGACGTCTGTAAATCACAACACGTACAGCCCTGTCTGACGTGGGTATACTTACATGCACCCAGGTGTCGTGTAGTCAGTAAATCACATACAGCCCTGTCTGACGTGGGGATACTTACATGGACCTAGGTGTCGTGTGAAGCCAGTAAATCACATACATCCCTGTCTTACTGACTGACTGACTGACTGAGTTTGGTTTTACGCCGCTTTTAGAAATATTCCAGCAACATCACTGCGGGGGACACCAGAAATGGACTTCACACATTGTGTCCATGTGGGGATTCGAACCCAGGTCTTCGGCGTGACGAGCCAACGCTTTAACCATTAGGCTACCCCACCGCCCCTCCCTGTCTGACGTGTGGATACTTATGTCACAGGCTAATATCTGTCACTAACACTGCACCATACTTTCCAGCACTCTCACTGATGTTGTTGTAAAACAGCCCACCTTACTTGTGGTCTGACTGGAACATCCTGGGCTTTGGCACATGCAGTCCCTGCAAATGTTGCAGAGGCAGGTCACATGACTGCTCTCTATAAAAACTACATGTGTCAGAGGCCCAGCACACACCATGTCAGGCAGCAACTTAACATGTTGTTGTGACCCACAGGTATGTTGTGAATTTGGAATGTTATGAATTTCGAGTGATTGTTTTAATTAGATATGCAAAAGGTATTTATTTCTCAGGTATGAAGTATATTCAACATAATATTTAACAATGTTATGGGGAAATTGCCAGTGATAAAATTAATTGTTTAAAATACAATTAATTCCATAGAATATATTTTGAGTATTTAATAATTGATTAACATGTATATTATCTGTGTAATGACACACCATGTCAGGCAGCAACTTAACATGTTGTTGTGACCCACAGGTTTCGTGCATACAATATCTATCATCAGCCAGAATGGACTTTGTAGTTCCTGGGACACTTACATGGACAAAAGTGTCGTGTGAAGCCAGTAAACCACAACACATACAGCCCTGTCTGACGTGGGGATACTTACATGGACCTAGGTGTCGTGTGAAGCCAGTAAATCACAACACATACAGCCCTGTCTGACGTGGGGATACTTACATGGACCTAGGTGTCGTGTGAAGCCAGTAAACCACAACACATACAGCCCTGTCTGACGTGGGGATACTTACATGGACCTAGGTGTCATGTGAAGCCAGTAAATCACAACACATACAGCCCTGTCTGACATGGGGATACTTACATTGACCCAGGTGTCGTGTGAAGCCAGTAAATCACATATAGCCCTGTCTGACGTGGGGATACTTACATGGACCCAGGTGTCGTGTAAATCACAACACATACAGCCCTGTCTGACGTGTGGATACTTGCATGCACCTAGGTGCCATGTGAAGCCAGGAAATCATTCAGCCCTGTCTGACGTGGGTATACTTACATGGACCCAGGTGTCGTGTGAAGCCAGTAAATCACAACACATACAGCCCTGTCTGGCGTGTGTCTTGCGTCTATGGACGTTCACAGATAACACGGTCATTCGTCGGGGTTGCCCTGAATAACTGTTTCACCGGGGAGACGGTGGTAGTCACTGCACCAACCTTGTTTATTTCTCCACTGATGAACGACGTTGAAGTTCTCTATATACAGCCTTCCATACTTATACAAAAACAAAAATATAAAGCACGGATGAGACTACCTCGATATTGAAAAGCTCGGTGGACCCTGTCCTTACCTTCTGTTTGCTAATCTATCAATCAAAATGTCTCTGCATATTCAGGGTATAGTAATGACTAGACGCTTTGGGGGCTTCTACTAGTACTTAATATTCTCTTTAAACGCGTTAATTTCTGTGAGTATCCATTTTTTCTGAATTTAATACTTAATTAACTTTGTATTCGGCGTTAACCCTGCACTCATTAATGTATAAGATCCGGGTTCGATTCCCCAAATGGGTACAATGTGCAAAGTCCATTTCTGGTGTGTCACCACACTGATCTTGCTGGAATATTGCTTAAAGCGGCATAAAACCAGTCTCACTCACTCATGGAATATTTATTCCGCGTTAACCCAACTCACTCTCATTATTGCTCTTATTATTGTAAGATGGTATTGGGGTTAACACCGCTTTCATTCACACCGCGACGTGACAGCGTGGTATGAGAGGAACGTCAGCCTCAGTGAACGTCACAGACGTCGACCATATAAAGGAGAATACGAACGAAAACAAAACTTTTGATATATTGTAAAGAATATTATAAAAGTCACATTCCGTGATTAAAATTAAACAAAAAGTTTATAAAAATAGCAATAAAAACACAAAAACGTACTCGTATTTCCGCCTATTACGGAAACACCCGACAGTTAATGAGCAGAGGGGGTATCACGTGACATGACGTCATAAGTGCCTGTTGTTGATGGCTTCCTCTTTGATTTTACCTCACAACTTAACAGTGTCCATGGATTCTGAAGCAGTAAAAGATGTTCCCGATGTCATTTCTAAAATGGATGTTAGACCGTATCAGTACGATCCGATTTTACATCTTGCAAGACAATCTTCCACTGAAGATGAAGAAGAAGAATCAAGCAAAACGGAGGCACCGCTTGAGGTCAAAATAAGTTTTAAAATAGACCATATCATTTAACATGATTACTTTTTGTCAGCAAAATGTCCTACAGTTCCAGCCAGCAAACTCACCCCTATAAATATGACCAGTCACTAAGATTATATTTTTAAAATGTGATTACAGTTCATTTTGTGTCAAATGGGTGACTGTAGGATGTCGGGGATTTAAAAACAAAATAATTATGCTTCAGACGAGGGAAAATAAAAGTTATCTGCTTCAAAAATTACACTGGAAATATTTTATTGAAACAAATTAGGATCCTAGTTCTCATTAATAACGTATCAAGTCTCGATACAAGATCCCAGCCTGGTCGAGCAGAGATAATATTCGCGACGCAGATAAGTTATTCCCCGAAAACTGATGAATTATAAAATACTAGTCAGGACAACGTATGTTTCCCTATTGTTTGGTTATGGAAATAGTTATGGTACTCGGTCATAACCTTGGAATGACATCCTGTCAGCCAATGAGAATACAGAACAACTTTCACGGCACACACTACTGACAAATAGCGAGTCTGATGCCGACGTGCGTAATTGGACAAAATGGAAAACAATGAAAGCAACAAGTACTTCATGATTTGCCGTTGTATTCGGCAATGTTTCGAGTTGACTGCATCATTTAGGTCTCCAAACCGAAAAGAACGTTATAGCGAAACATTTTCAAGCTCACGTGAAATCTCTTACTGATTTTGATAATATATATCTCATGTGTACCAGTCGAACTGCACCAGCTACAAAATGCCCCAGCAAATTTGGTCATTCATTCTAATTTGTTAAAATTTATAATGATTGAATATATCCCGTAAATGCCTAGTTTTTTGTCAACTTACAATGACATTATGTTCTTCTTGATGACTCTTTGAATTCGAATAAAGTTCAACATAGATCATATACAAAAGCCATGGTCCCTATAGCTATATATATAGTGTGGCGATCTGCCTTTAGTTGTTGGCGATCTATATGCCTGTGTTTTATATTGTATTGTCTTCTTTGATTAAAATCTTTTACATGCTAGTTTTACATTCAAATCTGTGATACTCAAGTATTTTTACTGCCCATCGTCGACAGGTTGAACTCTTCAGAATGTTTTCATCTTTATTGTATAAATTGTTTTCGTCACGATATGGCTGAGATATTGCCAGTGTGACGGTAAATTAAATATTAACTCACTCACTCATATACCAAAGTACGCTTTACAGTTGCGGGAAATAATTTTCTTTATAATTGACTACTGCCGTTTTAGGCTAAGCGAAAAAGCCATGACAGTTTACAATTAGGTAAGGAAATTAAGCAAATCTCGCTGTTTTTGACAAATTACGAAATTCCAGTTACGGCGTTTTTCGGTGTATTTTTAAACATGTAAATATCGGATGTTCACTGGGAGAATTGAATTAAAAAATAACATGTGAACGACGGCTATCTATTATCTTATCAAATCACATGTAATGTGTCTAAACGTCGCCGATAACCATAGTATCCTTTGGAACGTTTTTTGGATGGTCAGCAAATATGAACGACGAAGTAAGCTTTCCGCCATATTGGATAAAAACCCACGTGTATTTAAAACATAATCAGGGTCAAAGTAGGATTCGAATACTCGACAGTGAACTATTTACACGGGTAAAATCCGTGGAATCATGGCGCCTGAGACGACTCAGGCATCTATCATGGAAATGTTTATGTTCCTCCTCCATTAACATTTGAGTTATTTCGACTGGGATACGGTGTTTACAGTTCGTAGACGCGGTGGATTCGTAACCCAGACTGTTTCGTAGACCATGATTTCGAAGACGTGTATTAATAATTGAATAATAGTATATATTAAGTTTGATTTTTACTTAGAATGTGTATAACGAAGTTGTTATGCTTTGTATTCAGTGATACGAAACTAAGGGCAGCTAAGGACAAGAAAATGTGATTGAAGAGTGAACGAATATTTTCCCGTATCTTGTCTAGACTTGTTTTACATGTACTTGTATATGTAGTGTTTGTGTTGTATTTTTTTGTTTTCAGTGATACGAAAATATTGTTACTGTGTGACTTTGTGTGTAATAAAGATGAAGCGTCGTAAAATGTAAAAAGACAGACAACATTGTTATGGAAGAGTGATAATGTAATATATTTATGATCAACAACAATTTTCACAACAGCACGTATCACAGTAGTAACACAGTATCACAGTATCACAGTCACTCAGTGACCATTGGCCCATTTAGTTTGGACACCTCCCTCAGCAGCTGGGACACGGTAAGAGTTGTTGCTTGGAAATCGTCCCATAATCTAAAAAATGTATCCGACTTGGCACGCTGGCCAGCATGCTGCCATCTGTCCAACTGACCGTCTGTGACAAGTCGAATCTGCAGGGGCAGCAGGTCAGCTTCTCGGAAGAGGAGGGGGAGCAGTCTGTAAAAAGGTAGGCAACGTCACCCGGACAGCTGGTTTAAGCGCTTGTGCCAGCTTTCCAGGTCATTGTTCGTCCGGATGGCCGTCCCAAAAACGCACCAGTAATGGTCCACACAGAGCTTCGGATCCATGTTGACTCATAATATTCACAGAGGGCGATCAGATTCGGTGTCGCTGCTTGCTGTTTCACCTTCATAAATGCTGGCTCGATATGGGCTGAGTCCAGGAATTGCAAGCCCATAAGCTTTTTGATGAATCTAGAAAACAAATTATAAAAATGGGAGGCATAATACTAATGAAATGCAGATAATTTTTTAAACAAGATCATCTGAAAGAGTGTAAAAAGAAGCAAAAAAATATTCACCTGTGTGTTCCCACGTCCTCTTCGTAAGCCGTAGCCAGACCCAAGTTCTGCACCTTCCTATAAATCGCCTGATTTATATGGAAGGGGCAGCCCTTGACCTGGACGGCCGGAAAAACTCTTTGAAACCCTCTCCAGGTCGCCGCCTCAAAGTCCGTGACCATTTTTTCAACAGCTGCGTTGTCCATTAGGTCGTTCACCGCGTTGTTGAAGACCTTGTTAAACAGATAATTACATCATTCATTGATGACAATGAACAAACTTTACAGCAAGTACAGTAATTAGTTTAGCTATTACTTAACAATTAGTTAACTACTTACGGCCACGTAGTCCTTTATCTGGCGCCGCGACATCAATGCAAACAAAAGGGAAACTTGTTTCATCGACGATCCGGAGACGAGGAAAGCATGGATGGACAGCAGCTGGTGAAAAGGGGATGACACAACTCTGAATGTAGAATCTATGTACCAAGTCTTGGTCGTCTTTAAAGTCTTTAATTGTTGCTCGCTTGCAAATATGAGATGACACTGTCCACCACCTGTCTTCATATCCGCTCTTAGGAAGTCTCTCGGTAGGAAGCGGGCGCAAATCTAAAGAAGAAAAACATAATTTAAAATATACCGAATACTGAAAGCGAACACCATACCCCAAAATCCAAGTCTTTGGGTTCGCTTGGACGATCACCCTGGCGATGGTAATTAATTTTGCGGGCTGCTTGGCTCAGAGGGGGCAGGGAGGGGCATGGGCAGCTGGCTTCACTCTCTGCTTTGTAAATTTCCTCGGCCATCACTCCAGACGACTTGTAGTAAACGCTAGACTTGGCGACATCCCTGATCTAAAGAAATGAACAATTTCAAATTATTGCTGTAGTTGCTACAGATTTTATAATAATATTACATAATACAAACGTTACATATATTGATACGTTATGAATAAAACGACAAAATACCTTCATGTTGATGGTGGCCTTGGTCAGAAGTCCTGTCGTCGGCTCATGGTTGTGGTCGGCTTCTCCGCGGGTGAAACCGCGGCAGTGCACCGACCCTCCTTTGGCCGCACAGAGCACCACCAGTACACAGCATACCATCTTGACTTCTGTTAAAGAAAGAAACATATTTTAGTATATACATTTT